GGTGTTTTTCCAATATTCTTGGTTTCACTGTTCCAGACAATATTTAATACTGTGAAATCTCAGAGTGGATGAGGATAGCAGTTTTTAATATGTCTTTCTGAGCGTCTTTGCACTGAAAAAGTGAATCTCATTTGTGAGTGTTGGTGTAAGAAACATGAATGCAATTTCCTGAAGTTTTGCATGAGACGTGTGGGAGCAACAATGTACCTTTCATACCCTGCCAACTTGATTTCATAAGGTCTTGGAAAATGTTGACCCTAGGGACAGTTGATAGCCAACTTGTTATTTTGTATAGCTAATATTTGTTATATGACCTTCACATGAGCAGGTCTTACTGTATATTGGAATATGCATATGCCTATCCCTCTGCCCATGGCCTATGTGTTAGACCCTTCATAAAGTCAAACTTACTATACCATATCCTTTGGAGAGAGTTAGTTGTGTAGCAGTTGTGCAGCAGAGTAAAAAGGCTAATTCTTAAATTCATTACTTCTCATTTAGAGGGCCTAATGAGTTTAACCAGGGCTCTTCCCTTTCACCCAGTATCAGAAAACAAAAAGTACTGTGTTCTAGACAGGAAGTGCTGCTGTTAGCATACTTATAAGCAATTCCAAAGGTAGATGAAAAGTAGTAAGTTCTATTTAATGTGTGTCCCATCTTCCTGTCTCCAAATCATCAATGCTTTACCATTAATGGAATATAAATTCTTACAGCATCCTTGTTAAGCAGGTGGGTAGACAAACATCATTATCCTTATGCTACAGAATGAATGAAGTGAGGCAAACTGGTCTCTAAGGCTATCACCTAATTAGTATAGACATAGAATAACAAGTATAGAGTAATTCTATGTTAATTAAAAATTATAATAAAATGGGCCATTGCCAATTTCATGACACCAAAACGACTGGCATTTTGTGTCCATACAGATAGTGAAATACTTCAGCCAAAACAGGGTGGCCATTTTCAAATTACCTACTGGAAATTATTCCTAGTCTGTGTTTGTACCCCAAAACTTGCCTATGAATTGTCTAGGAGAGTGCTATGTCACAATGTGCCGCAGATAATTTCACAGTGCGCCTTGGCCCATGCTTCATGAGTGTAGACATAACCAAAGGATCTTACCTAATGCCATGCAACAGCTATATTGCTGCACTTAATTTTGGCACCATCTTTTGCTTTTGTGAAAACTGACTTTTTCTTCCATGGCCTCTGTTCCTCTCGTCTTTTGCTAGGGTGTGTTGCCACTGGGGGGCAGGATCTCTAGAGCAAACAAGCATGTTTCTTTCCTATCGCCTCTCTTCTAAAAAGGCAAAGAACCTTGGCAACAATTTGGCATTTTGCAGATTTTTCTGCAAACATTTAAGTTATGATTAACTAGAGTTCCTGCTTGAGGACTGGATGCTGTCAGCTATACAGCCTTGAAGTGATATCTGTGTGCGATGCTCTGTTGAAAGCAATAAGACAAGATACTGCTCATCATTAGAAAGGGTACAAGATTATGGCTGTAAAGTGTATGTTATAGAGAAAAATAAAACCATAGACAAAATTCAATACAAAACCAAAGTGACACACCATACTTCAGCCACCATCCCTGCCAAAGGCTCAATTTTGAGCAACTGGAAACCGGTGAAGCTCTGTTTTGTATGTGTAAGAATCCTACAACACACTGTATTATAAGGGATTTTATATACTTTGTTACACAAAGGATGTGTAATGTGGGCCAAATTAATCTCTGGCTCAGTTCTAACCAAAGCATTAAACCCCCTTGGTTTATTAATTAGTCCCAGAGCTAAATATTTTTTGCACCATTCTGTCTACCACTGTTGAAGCAGCAAGATTTTCATTAATTTTCATGCAACCAGCAAATTGCTTCCTAGAATTTAAATCCCCATTTATCTTGTAAAAGTCAGGGATCTTTGATGAGTATGGGAGTCTAGCCAACATTAGTGGGACATTATATTCCAAAAAATCTGCATGTAACATAAGATGCACATTTCTATACACAACTCGTCTACTGCTGTGGGCAGCATATAAGTCTATTTGAGTGGACTTAATGTATTATTTTCTGAGTGTCTATACTAACTGGCTGGAACAACAGCAGCAGTCTGCTATCAACACCCAAACGCAATCTCCATCTTGCAGACAGGAAAGATGAAACAGAACATTTCACTAGTTGTCCAGGGTGAGAATCAGAATCCTTTTGACAGTGGTTTGAAAAGGAAGGGGAAGAAACTGTAGGTACATCAAAACAAACTTGTATCAGTTGCAGAAAAATGAAATGCTATTTGCTTCATCCCCAGAATGTCTAACAGCAAATCACTTCAACGCACTCAACAGCTGTCACTCACACATGATGCAGTTCAAATGGTGCATGCACATTTTAATTTCCATCGCACAATTTGTGATCCACCTGTAATAAAAAAAAAAAAATCCTTTTAAATGGAACTTGCTATGCTTCTTCACAGTCTCGTCACCTCAAGATTAGCCTCCTGTAATATGCTTTTCTTCAGGTTATCACTTGAGATCATTCAGAGTCTGAAGCAAGTCTGGAATGCAGCAGTCACATACTAATCAGATCTTCAGTGAGCAGCACATAACACCAGCGCTTTCTGAGCTGTGTTGGCTGACAGCAGGATTGAAGGTATTGGTGCTGACCTTTAAAACTCTGGATGCAGGCTCTCTCCTCAAGGCATGCTACCAGATGGCCATCAGCGGAGGCATTTGAGTGACAGCTCAGCTGATAGCTAAAATGGCCAATGGGGCACGGTTTGCCAAAGCCACCTTGGCTCAGCAATTCACTGCACTAAACTGCCAGATGTGCTGCTTGAGCTCCTATCTTTTTTCTTAAGAATCTGATAAAGATAAACTGAGGGAATATCTGGCTTTTCTCTTTTATTAGCTCAGTATAGATGTACCTGGCTTCACCACACTTATAAATACATCCACAATATTTGAACTAGATTAAAATATGCTGGCAGTTAGCACCTGAGATGCAGGCTTTACTGTACTTGCAGGCTTGACATACCCATCTAAGCAGAACCTCTGTTTTACCTTACAAAGTACTAAAGAGCAAATCTAATTACTCTGCCTCAATGAGAAATGTCTGTATCAAGTCAACGGGACACAAGAGACAAGTGCTGAGTGCTTGTTCCAAACCTGGCCTGTGGAAAAACAGGACCTAAGCTAGTTAATGTAGAGTCCAGTTATAACACAGTGTTTTCTCTTGGGTGTTAGAAATGGCTGAACATTCAAGCATCTGTATGTTTGACAGTAAATGAATTGTGTAAATGACCCTGGCTATAATACTAGATTTTACCATCCACAGTGCTAATAGAAAATGCACTGATGCATATTACTGAAGGAGGGTCCTGAATATGAAGTAGCAATAAAGTTAGAAACAATTCTTAGGCTATTGTACAAGGCAGAAGCTGATAATAATGGAGATTTGTACTCTGTAAAAGGGCTTCCCTTTAGCAACAAGTGAAGTGACAGTTGCATGCTGAAGCATGTACGGGAACCTAGTTATGATGAAGCAGCTCTAACAAAACCCCATTTATAATTAAGCAGAATTGAAGAGTGAAATTATTTCATAAGATCTTTGGATGGTTTGGAAGAAACGGTTCCAGTCATCCCAGGCTGCATGTTCTTTCAAAAGAAGTATGCAGCCATTGTTCTACTCTAAGCAACCATTATGTCTGTGAAAAAAATAATCATGGATTGTCCCTGAAGAGTAGCCAGTGCTGTTCTTTGCAGTGCTCTCAGGCTTCATTAAGGTGCTATAATTTGATAAGTTCTATGCTTCTTATGCATTCACAGAAGCTCACATCACTATGTTAAAGACATGCTTTAAAACACCAGAATAAATTCCTGCTTAACAAACAGTTATGTATTCACATGTGCATTCATAAAGCTACATTTTCTAGAGAGAGTAGGTAAGTATGATATTTGAAAATAAAGCCTTACATAGTTTTACCAATGACTACCTACTATTAGAAGTGATGCCATTCAAAACAAATCGATGGCTGGTGCTCAGCAGATCCCCTTCTGCTTTACTATATTGATATCCTTAATATTTTTAGACATTACACATACCGAGCTTTAAAGGCTGCTTAGCTTGTAAATCGTCTCTCCATTAAAGAAAATAATAAGCAAGTATCACTGACTGCATCCCCTAGTCCTTAGTGTTTGTCCGAATGGCTCTCCTATTCAGTTATTGCTATGTCAAAAGTAAAAGATCCATTACCACAGCTCTTACTCTGTTATCTGGTTGCCCTATGTGGTTATTCAGGCAGGTAAGGAATGCAGAAGCAAGTCCAAAATCTAGCTCTTTCTGATACAAAAAAAAAAATAGATTTTGTGTGACCTCCCCTCTTTCTAATATGACAGGGAACTGAGAGCACGCTACAGCTTGCAGGATTAGGTCCTGTGACAGAGCGTGATTCTGTAGTAACTTGTGTGAAAACTGCCCATATACACATTTCAAATCTGATCAAGAGGAAAACATGTCTTTCAAACAGTTCACTGTTTTACTGCAAACATAACAAAGCTCTCTTTGCAGATCAAATCACTGCTTAACTATGGGCAAATTGTGAAATTTCTCAGTTTTAGACTGCAGCCTAAATTTTTTACAGATATGTTTCCCTATTTTTGTAGCTATGGAAACAGCCTTTTGTTTCTTTAGGAATAAGCCAAGAATTAGGGGCCAGGCCACAAAATATTTTGTTTTATTACAAAACCACTAAAACGTGATTTCTCACCAGTTTAACTGGCAGTGAGACTATTTCACACAGCAGTACCATGTACTGATGCTCTCCTGGGGAAGCTCAGCAGCAGTAACTTTGGCTGAGAGTTAGGACTATTTTTGGAAACTTCAGAAGTATCTAGGGAAAGTGCTTTTCACTTTTATTCATATAAACAGTATCTCTATTTATTAAAAAAGTGAGAAATGGCTTCTCTTCGACTTCAAATGGCTTTGACAATAAAATTCTGCTTATATCAAGGTCTTGGGAGACACATGAAGCCTTCTGATAAATGGGGTGTTTGGATGATGAAGAGATGACTTGAAGACTCAGGAAGAGATGCTTCAGACTTCTGCCTCTGGAGTGAAATGAAGGTGAGTTCACTTAGATCCTAGCTCTGTGTCACTTACCTGTGTAATCTCTCTCATGCTTCGGGATGGACTACGATGTCTTTTCCATCTTAAGTTGCTAAAAGTCTAAGTAAGTAATTCCTGCTGTGAAAGAAAGAAAAAACCTATTTAAATGTTTAGGTTCCTAAATACAGGCTTAAATATTGTTGAAGTCCATAGAATTTAAAGTACATGCTTAAATGTTTTGCTGAATAGGGATATGTTGCTGAATCATGGCCAAGATTTCTTAAGTTGATGTACCGTTACCCATGAAATTACTAATACACTCAATATCAATCCTGTACTTAAATGCATTGTAAAAGGAGAATATACTTTTTCAGGGCTTCTGGTTCATTCTCTACAAGAGCATCTGGCTGGATCAGGGATTCATAATAAAGTTAGTTAGTAAAAGTGTTAGCCTAACAAGAGCAGGAAATTGTGGCATAAGCCAGGGCAGGACTTTTCTAGACAATAAGCTGCTATTGATAACCTTAAGGTTCAGTACACTCTGCTGTGGGGTTACTTCTTGTTCTGAAATTTGCCTTCCAATGAACAGAAAGCAAAACCAGGAATTTTACTGGAAATGTATCATCTTCACTGGTATAAACTGTCTGATTTCCATTTCCGTTTGTGTCCTAAGGATATGCCCAAATGTTTACATCAGCAGCAGGCTAGAGCTCATGGTATGAACAGTGTTAAACAAAGTAGCTTAACACTGTCTGTCACTGCACAATAATTTCCAGTACCGTTTTCTTTCTTTTTCTGTCTTCCACCACTTCTGCAAAAAAATCTTCTGATCCACCTATGTGTCAAACTTGCAGTGTGCTCTCACACTCTTCCTGCAAGCTCTGTTTGCAGTTAAGCATACGGGATTTACTGTTATGGCTGAAGTGACCAACAACAATGAGACTAAACAAAAGGTTTTGAGCAAAACATCAATGAAGCTTTTGACATCAGAGATGGTCATAAACCAGCTACGTTGAAAGTTCAAGGAAGATCAGGTTTGGGTTCAAACATTGCACCCTATGGCTGTTCAAAAGTTGTTCAGATGAAGAGCCATAGTTTTTTTTGTCTGTCCTTCATTATCAGAAACACCAGTCCCAACTGTGTGGCAGTACATTTTCCCGTTCTGTCAGGCACTGCATTGTCCTTTGCCCTCTGTTTTTCTCCTTTTTGGCATTGTTGACTTTCTGGAGGTCAGACCTCGTGAAAAATTTGTCCAGAGTTGCTTTCCGAATCAGAGCCATTCTTACACGTTCAAGTAAAGTAGACAGCAAACCCACATGTTAAAGCATTAACTAAATAATATGCATTAGGAGTGCTGGGGGGTGTTGCTGCTGGTCACCATGTTCCACCTAAGTGATCCCATGGCTGCTGCTGCCAGGGTCCATGGTCACCTCACAACCTGGAGCGGCTGCCACATCCCTGCCAGGCTCCTTGCTGAGATGTGCTTTTGACAAGGAACAACCGGAAAAATGCTGCATGCTAAATGACTGCAAGCCATTGTCTGCTGAGTGTAAAAAAAGATGCTCCGTTCAGTCCCTCTTTTCATTGTGCACCTCTCTGTGCTAGAGCACTTTTTGTTGCTCTTTCAGTAGCTTTCCTTTGCCAACAAATAACAGGCATTAAAGATAGAAAAACAATAAAATTACATGAGGAGAGAACAACGACCAGTACACAGAGATAAACATCAGCAATAAACACTTCCAGCTGCCAGCCCTACAACATATATAAATGACAGAGTGGCCTGAGGGAGGGAAGGGAACAGAAGCAGTGAGTGCAGATCCAGGAAGACAGGGTGTGAAGGCTCCTAGCAGGAGCTTGGAAAAGCCCACGTGGTTCAAGGATGCTGGAGCCACAAACAGTTTAATCAGGAGAGCCCACTACGCCCAAATACCACATCACTGTGTGTCCCTTTGGCTTTCTATTTGAAAATCAAGCCATAGGGTTAATGTGGTGTGTCAAACATTCAGGAAGCTGGGGTGGCACACATACCATAAAACTGACCATCTGAGAACAAAAGAGGAAAAAACTTTTTTTTTTTTCCTTTCTATGATACTGAAGTCTAGTCTACAATAGAATAAAATGCTTTGTATTTATGGGGAAAGAGGAGCTTTGCTAGGTACTTGCTAAAGATATTCTTCACTGTCTAGTATTCATTTCTAGACAGCAGGTCTTAGCTTTGTCTTTCTCTTCCCAGTTTCAGTGCTCCCCACCCCAAATCTCAAGTCACTATTATTTTGAGAAGAATAAATTTTAATCTGTTTAAAAGAATGACACTTCTTGCAACAGACGGAAGAGGAAAGAAGAGCTTGCTGTTTGGTGCTGTCGTGAGGTCTGGGATGTTAGAGGTGGTCCAGCAAGAAGATGAACATGATGGTCTGAATGCAGGTGAAGTGGTGAGGAGCACATGCTGAATTCAGTTTGCTCAACCTGCTCTGTGACTCCTGCCCAGGCAACCCCTGCAGCCAGAAGTGGAGTCTCTGACACAGTTCTACATTTTCCTTTTATTTTATTTTTGTTTGTTTGTTTGTTTGTTTCTTTTACCTGCTGCCACAAACACACAATTCCACAACTGTGAACAATTTCAGCTTAACTTTTTACACATAGGAAGTCGTGGCTGGCAACAGATATTCTCTGGGGTATGAAATCCCTCCAACAACGGCTCTCTGAAGTAAGTTTTGAAACACTGATATTTCAACTGCTTCCCTGTTATTAAAGCGAATGGGCAGTCAGTTCCTAATACCATTCTGCCTTCCTTTGCTCCAAATTTACAGCTCAGGCACCACACTACATTTTGCAGCTGCCAAAGACCATTTTGTTATGATGAATTTATGAAAGGGATTAAGAAAGGTAGCTGCTACAATGAGAAACTATTTGACTTAGTGTCCAAGGCCCCATGTCAATGGAGTGGCCCTACTGCTGCACAGATAGTTGTGTTCAACCCTGAGGATCACTACAGATGGTGGGGGGCAGACATGGAGATCCTATTGCCCTCAAATTATCCTATTGCACTCCAAACAGGTAAATCCTATTTTCCTGGCACCTGTGAAACTTAGAAGAAATACTGATCCATCACCCATATGACAGGGAAGTTGCCATGTGCAGACTCTGACTTTAGGTACAACTTCTATGGAACAACAGGAGGGTTTAATATGATTCAAGGAATCATATGCTATGGAAATGCATTATAGGTTGCCCAAGTCAGAGCAGCCCTTCCCCAGCTCAGACTGTTGCTTTGATAAAGAGGAATGGATACAAACCATGAAACAAACAAAACCTACCATTTACTTTAAAGGAATACTAACAAGAAATGGAAAAAATAACTGATTAAATTCAAGGATTGTCATAATGAGAACACATTTGCACCTTTGATCAAATAAAAATGGTGCTTTTCAGTGCTTGAGACAGACACAACTAAGCTTACACAGTAGCAAACTGGATAGCAGTTTTAAAATACTTTAAAGAAATTATCATTGTTTTCTGTAGAGCTCCTTCAAACGTAGTAAATGTGCCTGCTATATGAGGAAAGGTTAAGAGAACTGTGTTTGTTGAGCCTTGAAAAAAGAAGGCGCAGTGATAACTTATCACCATGTTCCAGGATTTTTAGGGTGACTACGAAGAAGACAGAGACTCCCTTTTTACAAGGAGCCACATGGAAAAGACAAGGGGTTATGGGCATAAATTACTCCTGGGGAGATTCCAACTGGACACAAGAGGAAATTTTTGACAATGAGAACAATCAGCCATTGGAACCATCTCCCCAGAGAACTGGTGGATTCCCCAGCAATGGATGGTTTCAAGATTCAGCTCGACAGAATGCTGGGCCATCTAGTATAGGTCATGCTTTGCCTTGAAAGTCTGGACCAGGTGGTCCTCGAAGTCCCTTCCAACCTTTTTTGGATTTTTTCTAAATGGGTAAAGTGAGGCTTTTATAAATTCTTTTATTCAAGTAGATAGCTCAGAGAAGTGGCTTGTTTAGGGTCACGCAGTAGATTAGTGATGGAGATGTAGAAAAATCATGATGGTCTACTGATCTCCAGGCCTCAACTGCCTTTTCACTTTTTTGTGGTATTACAGTCTCCTAGCTAGTGCATTTTGCCCATTTATCTGCGGCATTATAACATTATACTAAGCACTGAAGTACAAAACCAGAAGTTCACATATTGATTTGTCTTTTTAAACTGGAAATTGTTTAAGTCAGCTCTTCAGAGTGTCTTATTGTTTTCTTCTTAGGCTATCAACAAGATTTTTCATCTAATCCAGTGTCCCAGTTTTAGCAAAAGCCAGTGGCAAAAGCAATACCAATGTGAAATGGATTGTTATAGACTGCAGGATGTGGTTCTATTCCTGCATGAAGAGCTGCCAGTCACTTAACCTCTCTGTGGATGTCTGGTGTAGCACAGCAACACCTGAGCTAGCTTTAAATTAGCTAAGTGTGACAGTATTAGCACTTGAACTGAAGCAGCATGGGGCTCAGCACGATCTGGAAAGCTTATGTTTGGTATTGAATGGAGCTCTCAATACTTGTGGTGAAAGAAATACAAAAGTAGTATCTCCATGTCAATAAAACACTGTCCTTAAAATCTCATCATACTTAGTACTGCTAAGCAAAATTGCTGGGTGCCTATGTCACATGCATTTCCTTTTTGAATCTGGAAATGGAGAAGTTAGTACAGTGAAAAACTGGCCATGAAACTGTTAGGCTGATGCTTCAGAAAGCCAGCACACACCACCTTACCCATACTTTCAGGTCATAATTAGTATGAGACTCTAGGACAAGCTGTTGCTGAGTAATGCACACGAGGATGCTGGAAATATTCACCTCTGCCTCATCCTTTGCTATGCACGCATGTGAAGCGTCACTTGGCTTAACCATATAGAGCCCAGCCCAGAGTACTTTATTGACAGGCATCAAGAATGACCCATGCACCAGGAATCTCATTAAACTTTTCAAACATCAGATTAACACTGACACTCCCTTGGCTGCATTTTGCAGTTTTTTCTCTTCTGTAGAGAGGGGCAAGATGTCCATAGGCAGGCCTAATCTACCTTCAAGAATTATGAGAAACCAACATGACCAATACCTCAAGAAGGAAGACCAACAGTAGCCCATGTTTGATAGTATCCTTGCAAATGCTAGTATGTCCTCTGTGGCATATTAGGATGCTTCATGAAATTTAAGCTTCGCTGGTTGTCAATAGACCATTTGTAAGCAAGTTACAGTAGTTTCAATTTTCCCAAGTGAACTTTTCAATAAATGACTCCTCCTCCCAGTGAAAAAAGTAAATAAACAAATTGAGCTGACAACAGATGTCTTTTTGAAACACAGAAAGAAAAAGAAAGGAGGACTACATTTTTGTCAGATA